GATGTTGCACCTCAGTCGCCTAGAGGCCCCGCTGAGGAGAGGTGTTCATGCAGAAGTCCAGTAGTGAAGTGAAGTCGCTGTACTGTTTTGTTTTTATTTTAAACAGTCTCCTAGAGGCCCTGCTGAGGAGAGTTCTGGGAGAATAAATCCATCCAGCTGGCAAAGTGAGAGCTGACTCCTCTGGTCGTTCGCACAACACAACGCAGAGAACTAACGGCAATAAGAGTTTAAGGCCAGACCGGCTACACTTGTTCATAAAGAAAATAATCTGTAGTTACAGTCAGTGCAGTTAAAAGGAGCTCCAGACATCCAGCTACAACTATTAAACATTTCCAAAACAAAAATGCAAGTGAGCAAAACTTGACTCAAAACGGTTTTGAATAATAAATAAATGAATAATAATATAATATTGAATACTAATAAAAAAATATATGAAAAACATTGAATCAAATTAAATCAAGAGTCAAACAATTTAATTAGTAAATATGTTGTCTGTGTTAGACCTGCGACAGACTGCTCCGGCCCCGTGATCAGGACGAGGATAAGTGGAAGAGGATGGATGAAAAACACTCACAGGAAGTGGAGTTGGGCGCCGCAGCCACTGAGTAAAATGCCTGAAATCCTTCTTCATGAGCTGCAGACTGTGAGACCTGCTGTGGATGATCGCGCCCTTCAGACAGAACAAACATGACAAAGGAGGAAAGAACGGAAATATGAGCTGGAGTGTGTGAACCACAGCAGCTGTGCTAAAAAACAGGAGCTCACTCAGGCAGTAAAAGACGATTCCTGCGATCAGGATCAGGAGAGCGATGACAGCACACACGATCAGAGGGATCTTCAGAGAGTCGCTCTCTTCACTCTCTTCACTCTCTTCACTCTCTTCACTCTCTTCACTCTGGTCCTGAGGCTCTCTGGTTGGATACGTCCTCTCCGTGTGGTTTAGTGCACCCTCCGCCCTGCAGGTGAGCTCCTCCTCCTCCAGGTACGGCACACAGCTGGTCACATGGTACAGGCTGGACTGTGAGGACTCACCCTTGTTCTCTAACATGCGTCTGGAGGCCGACAGCCACACAATCTTAGGCAGCGGGTTACCTTCAGCTCGACACTGCAGCCTCCGGGGGGCGCTGTCTGAGCCACAGGGCATCTCCACCACAGAGAGGTTCAGGATGTGAGGCTCAGCTGGGAACAAGAAGCAGAAAAAGTAATCTGATTACAGATGATTTTCCATCGTGTGACACCTTAAACCAGTCTGGCTTCAGATGCAGCTTTGACAACAATCTTCAGAACAACTTGTATCTCTGCATGTTGGATCCAGCAGCAGAAACCAAGACATGAATGTGTCTCTGAACAGCTGCACAGAGAAGCCTGCAGGATGGACGACTACAGGTCACCGCTGAATAATTTACCGTCCAGTGTGACTCAATCCTCGGCAGAAGGTCGCTGTGTGGCTATCTTTCATTACAGTCTTTGCACCTGTGTGACTCAAACGACTTTGGTAACTTTCAGTAAAAGCTGAACTCGACCTTACCTCCAACATAAAGCTCTGTCTTTGCTTCCTGAAAGTTCCTCCACCCGTCGAGCTCCACTCTGCAGACGTACGCGCCGTTATCAGTCAGCTGTACATCCCTGATGAGGAGCGACCCATCCCCCCATCGAGGATCTCCTTTCAGGGAATGTTTTAAATCGGGAAATGCGCAGGGATCGGCTCCATGCATGGAATTATTTTTTACTGGACACTCCAAGAACGGAGGAGTGTTTGATGCTGTGAACTTCCATATGACCTTGATCATTCCTGAATAATCCCGTGAGGGGGTGAAGAAGCAGCC